AAAAAAAAAAACAATTTCTAATTTTGTGTTTTTTTTTACGACTGTACCGTGACATGTTCCATTCAGGCAGAATAGAGGGTGATGTGGGGGAGAAAGAGGCGTACTTTTGTGCACAGTCTTGACGTGCCTGTTCAGGGTTCCGCTCTCTTTGAACGAATGACCACAGATACTGCAAGGGAAGTTCCGCAGGTCTGAAATAAAAAAAGACAAAAGGACTTAGAGACTTCACTGTACCAGAGGCTGGGTTTAACTGCTCAAAAGCTACTTACGTTCGAGGATGATAAAGGTTGTTAACACTTTGACTGCGACTCCCAAAAATAGCCCGTAGTTTGTGACATTGCGTGTACCATATATGGCGCACATCGCAGTCAAAGTGTTAAACTAGAAGAATCACATAGTATTAGCGGATAATAACGCTAGGACGATACTCTGACCGGCTCTACGTAAACTGATGACTTAGATGACCGGAAAAACAGGAGAAGGGAGCAGGCACGGCTCACAATGCATTAAGTTTTCCGCCGAAGTCCGGGGAAAGCGGGCTTGGGAACAAGTAGAGCGTTAGGGATAATTTTAAGGTTAAGTCCAAAATTGGAATTAAGGTCAGAGTTAGGATAAGGATTATGTCAAGGACTAAGCTTTGGGTACTTCTCCATTTTAGAGTTAAAGTTTAGCGTAGGGTTAAGAATCCAGGTTGTTTTTATGTTAGGATGAAGACAAGATAATATTTATGCATCTTACATCTTATCACAAGACCAGCTATTTTAAGTGAAAGGAACATTCCTATTCTCCTGCTTGTCGGAGTTTACGAACGTAACCTATACGAACTTCACGGTATATTTGAGAAAGAGAGAAGCCAGATCACTGCAATGTGCAATGATATTACCCGCGGTTAATCAGAACGAGTTGTTCAGCGAATCCATAGATAGCGGTTAATACAATGGCCTTCAGAAAAAGTCAGCTGCGAAGTAAACCAGGCTCTCAAGTCTGAGGACGCGGGAAAAGCTCGAGGAAGGAAACAGAAGAGGCGTACTTTTTCTCCCCTGCTTTAAACACATTTACATTTGAAATTGGGTCAGTGACTTGTCATAGAGCCATTACCTCAATTTCGACTGTTTTTTGGAAGGTTAAATATTGTTATGTTAGTAAACAGTTATTCTTCGGCAAACCTATGTCTTTGTTTGCTTATAGCATTCAGTTACCGCTATGAGAGTTGGGGGAGGGGCGTGCACTGACTTCGCGCAACATTAAGTATCTTGTCGGTATACCACGACATTTTCTCAGATATACAATCCCCTGTACTTAACAAAAACACAATAACATGGAAACTGCAGTACATATACCACAAAGCATATAGGATCACTGAGTCGGAAACGGTATGAAGCATGGCATTTGTAGCTCAACTGGGAGAGCACTGGTTTCGCGTAAAGGCCTTCTTTACTATGCGGGTTAAAATCCTGCCGAAT